ATATACATATATATATATATATATATATATTAACTTTGAGGTCTAATTGTATGTTACCTTGTTCAATATGTTCATGTCTAATATAACTTAATATATCTATTCTCTTTTATTTCAAATATATTTCTTAGAGAACTTAATAAATAGTTAACACTAATTTTATTTTTTCTTTTTTCTTTTATGTTTTGATAGTTTTTTCTAGTTGTTTTTAAATAAACAAACTTGTCAAATTCAAAATGAAATTCTATTATATTATCCGACTGTTTATTCTTTAATTGAGTTTAATTTTCTTGGTAAATTTAGATATGTTACTTATTTTATGAGCAATTGAAATAAATCTATTTATTATACGAAGTCATTTCATATATATTTAATTTATGTGATTACTATATATATTTTTATACTTTTAAGACGTAATATTATAGTACCTTGTCAAATACATGTTATTGTCCTATAGTTTTAATAATAAATGTATCTCGTGACTACAGCAAATCATGTACACGTCCTAGTGTTTGTATCAATGCATAATAAGAGTTTTCTCATTCAAGTTTTATTTGTGTACATAAATTGAAGTTATTTTGGTTGCATTTTTTCTATTTTTTCAACAATGTTGCTTCCATAAGTTGAAGTTTTTATCTTGTGATAATCTACCTTTTATTATCCTTCCCTCTTTTTTTCTTAATTGAATATTATAGTTAAATATTAAAGTTGTGAGGGGATGCATGCTGCAAGACGCGGGCGGTGGCCCTGTTATTATGGGGAGGTGGAGTTCAACTTATTTTTATTGATTCATCAGAACTTTTATACGGAGCATATGTATTTGATGACCAAATTAAATTATTTCATACGTTTAGCCATCCTATTGTCTGCAAGTTGGAACCGACGTGCGACGATATCTCTCTGAAAGTTTAAACCGGCCCTTTTCAAATGCAAGAGGAATGAGAATTAAGGGAAAAGAAAGGTTTTGGCCTTATAGGGTACAATGTTTTGAAAAAGATGGGGAAATGAAGGAAAAAAGGTCTATTGTTGTTTTGTTTCTACTGAATCTTGGAGGAGTGTTGCAGAATTACTTACCATCCATTTGTGCTCGGAGTTTGCACTCCTTGAATGAAGGGGAAGTGAGGAAAATGCATGAATATTATTAAATCGACCTGGTTTTCAGTTGGAACTTTATTGGTTCAAGTAAAATATATTTTCCGTTTTATCTAACCTGGTTTCAGTCATAAATCTACAACTTCTCAGTTTTGACTAGAATTTTAAGCATGGATATGGGTAGCAAGGGTTTTTGTTTGCTAGGACTTGTCAGTCTAATACTTTGGTATTATTAATTTCTGGATCTTTTTAATTTGGTTTAAATAAAGCAATCAAAAGTTTACTTACCAGTTTGTAACGTTGATATACTGGAATTATAAATATGTGGTATCTTTTTTATGCGTAAGTAGTGATTTAATTTGTTAGAAGACTGCATGCTTTTAGAGTGTTGCATTGCAGCTCTATATACCTTTTTTATTTGAATTACTTGCTTTTGATCAATGATTTAGTTGATCAATAATGTTTTTTTTTCCTTAGGCTCTCCACATTCGAGAATCTTGATTGGATTTTTTTCCTTTTGTGTTAAAAAGGGATTGAAAATTGAAGATTTCTTGACATTTTACCTTCAATGTTTTTGCTGGTTGATGGCATGTGGCAAAAAAAGTTTCTTAAGTTCTATGATGCAGCAACACTTAACAATATCAAAATACGTTTTGTGTTCAACACATATAGGACATGAAGTGCCTGACATTTGTTGAACATGCTATCAGCATGTTTGATTAAAAAATAAATATATAAATACATGATATGCTTCTCAAAGGTTAAATGAAATATCAATGATAAGACGGCGGAATGCAAAATAAGAGGCTATTAATTTTGAAGAAGAAAACTGAAATATGCCTTTAATAATGTATTTTTTATATTGCCTCCTTTTATTTTTGCATTAAAGTAACATTTATCATTATGCAAATTGGATTGCATGCATTTCATGGCTATTTAATTTGATTAGTTTCTATACCTTGCATTTGTTCTTGTATGCATGTATATTATAACACCGTTTTTGCTTCCTTTTGTCTGTGTTGATGCATTACAGCTTCAAATGCAATTGATTTTTTTTCATTTTTTATGTAACATAGGTTACTCATGTATTCATAAATTTTAACTCTATTAATATAATCACATTTTAGACATAGATGCGCTTCCTCCTAAATATTGGTTGCAAGATCTCTTTTTTCTTTAGTTACTGATGACCTGTATGTTTGGGTTGACTTTATCTAGACAAGCCTGCTTAGGGTTGTAAATGAGCCAGCGTTAGCATGCTTGTTGTCCGTTTGTGCCTGGCATAATTAAATTTTTATTTATTTGAAATCTGCTTATGCTTGAAATTTGTAAACATCGTGTTTTTATTTCTTTATTTTTTTTTTGGCTGATTTATGTTCAAACGATTACAAAGTGATTCTATTTAATTATTAACTGATTAATAAATTTGGAAAAAAAATAAATCTAAAATTTATGTATATATTGTGCCAATCACAATTAAAGAAGGCTCTAGTTGTGTTTGACTTGATATGAAAATAAGCTCAAAATAATTGTTCAATGTCTGCTTGCTTAATGAGTCGATGAAACATGCGTTTCTTAGCAAGCTGAATTTATGAACGGTATAGTTTTTGCTTTTTTTTTGACAATTCTATCCGTGCTAATGATGAATTGCGCTGATGGGCTCTCTACCAGTTTTTAGATTATCTGAACCATAGCTTTTACATTTTTATTATTTTCTCAATGGAATTTTTATTATGTGAAATATCTGAATAAAGATGATACAAATCCAAGTAATCCTATGGCTGTTGTGACCTTTTTGTCGGAGGTTGATGTCTCTAAACATTTTCGATAAGTAAAAAATGGTTGATTCCATGATGGTTATGGGTAAACTTGAGAAGAGGCTTCCATGAATAGATCATAGTACCCTTCAAAAGTCAGGTTCATCACATTTTTATTCTTTTTGAGCCTGTTTGGTTTGTGCTATTTGTATGCCAGTACTACTGTTATTGCTACATATTTTGTTTGTTAGACATAATCTTTAGATTGGGCGGCTTTTTGGTTCAGTATTGATTCATTGCGATTTTCTGTTTCCTGTGCAATTCAGTTAGTGACACAAAAACTTGTGGTGTTTATTGTGAATACAGCACTGATGATTTGAATCAACATAAATGGCCAATAATATTTTAGTAGCTCATCTATGTTTCTGAACTAACCTATGTTTCATTCTATGTGGGTTGTTCAGACTTGAGAAATTCTGAAACCTTAAGGTAATGTTTGATGAACTGTATGAAACTCCTTTATAATTTGAACTATATGGTTCTTATATCTTAGATTAAAAACTAAAATTGATTCCTGATTTTTGCTGCCTACAATCCTCAGTAATCAAGTTGCAAGTGTTGCATGAAATTATGGCAGTTTGGTTGAAATGATTGAATTGCTCGATGTCTTACTGAGCTAACTGTTTCATTGGATATGACAGGATGAGCTTCGAGATGCTGTTCTTCTAGTGTTCGCAAACAAACAAGATCTTCCAAATGCAATGAATGCTGCTGAAATCACTGATAAACTTGGTCTTCATTCCCTTCGTCAGCGACATTGGTACGTGTTTAATAGTTCTGTAATATGCTTTTGATGAATATTTGTGTCCTAAGACTCAGTTGGGGCGCTTTTGATTGTTCTCGCACTTGATTTATATTATACAAGTTTGGAAATGAGTATGATATTAGGGTTTTTTTTTCCCGTAGATAAGATCATAAGAATATCATATTGTGAGATAAACTTTTTAATTATTTGACCATTGAAGAGAGTAAGACAGATGCCTATAGCAATTAACGGTTGGTTAAATGTGAAAATGAGTTGTGCCATGTAAATGAGTTGAGCTGAGTTCAAGGCGCCCTTTGCTTGACCTTGAGCTTGATTCATTAATTGAATTCGAGTTTGACCTTGAGCTTAATTCTATGAGTTTGAATCGGCTCATTTATTATGAAGCAAAGAAATTAATTTTATGCAAGTAATTATTACAATAAAATAATAAAAAAATGAAGCATTAGAAAAAAGTAATAAGAAGTCATTCTATTCAAGTAATCATTGTACTCAAACTACTGGGTATTAATATTTTTGAAGTGTGCTATATAACAATATTTTTCTAGGGAAATTTACATACATACCATACAATTCTTATGCATTTACATATCTAACACTTAAAGTTTAATATTCGGATTTATAACACCGGTGTCATAAATCTATGCATAAAATTACATTTCACTTTTAAAAGTTAATAATAGTAATATTTTTTATCTGATGTTAAAATTTTGAGTGTTATAAATGTAAATACGAATGTTTAGGTGTTATATTGATGCTTACGAGTCTGGGTTGGAGTTGGCTCAGGCTCATTGAATTCATCTCATTGGCCATTTATTGAGATGAACCCCAGTTTGCTCGTGAGCCAGCTTTATTAGTTACACCCTAGTAATAAAAGTGGTGTAGCTAATTATGGCATGTTACGAAGGATCTACACTTTTTACTATTTGGTATTTTTTTCTCATGGCACTATTTATAGTGATGTGCCTACATTATTGTTGGTATTTTAATGCTCATCTGAGTATAACAAATGATACATAGAGATTTTACTGTTGAACCATTGCTTGGTAGGCTTGATTTTTCAACATCATTGACGTTAGGGTTGTAAACGAGCCGGAGCTTGAGCGTGTTCAGGCTTGGCTCGTGTTCGGCTTGTTCGAAATAGCTCGTGTTCGAAATTCGCTCGTGAATAGTGTCGTGTTTGACTCGATTTGCGTGTTTGACTCGATTTAAATATTTGTGTTCGTGTTCGGCTCGAAATTGACTCGGAAAATTTAAATTGAAAAAAATAGATGTAGTGTCGGATTCGAACCTGGACCAAATGTATACAAAAGAAGACACTAACCATATTACCACACAAGATGTTATGATTTAAATTTAGATATATATAAATAATATATTAAATATATTATTATATAAATAATTATGTATTTTTTTAATTTCGAGCTAAAATGAGCCGAACATGAGCTGTTCGTGAATAACGAGCTTTTTTGACAACCTTAATTGACGTAGATATATTACTCAAACCCTGTGACACGAGCTGTTCGCGAATAACGAGCTTTTTTGACAACCTTAACACGTATGTGGTTCTATACTAATGACATCATTTCCTCTCGGTATTTATAAGTTGTTGGCATCATATACTATGTTTTTCACAGTTAACTGTATCTGAAGTGATGTGTTTTAATCAATTGTATATTTTGTAAAGGCTATTTATGATCATATTTTAGATGCCCATTTTCTTGTGGGGGAGATGAATGGTTTTGAAATGAGATTTTATATGTTTTTTTTTTTTTTTTTGCACTGGTTCATATTTAGCATTTTTACATTGATATATATTCTAGATGTTCTTTTTCTGAATCACCATGACAATGTGAGATTATCATTGTGTCAAAGAAATTGGAATGTGATTTCCAATGCATAAATATTATAATTTATTAGTTCTAATGATGCCCTGAAGGCCTGAACAACTAGATATATAGCTTCTCAATTAAAAAAAAAGTGTCAAAATGCTCAACTCTTCGCAATGTGGGGCATTTTAGTCCCATAGTCTATAACAATGTCAATTTAGTTAGTCCCCAGAGATTTTTAATATAGGCTGAAGTGATCCAGGAGGAGGACTCTAATTTGTCATTTTTAGAAATTCTGGAACTAAAATGACATCATATAAATAATTAATGGACTATTTTGACATTTTACTGCTCAATTTATGAGCGTCCTGAAAACCTTAGTTCCATTACCTTAATAAAAAACCTTTATATACTTTTTTAGAAGAACATTGATAATTGCTTGGATTATGAGAAAATATTTGGAAAATTTTTCAGGTACATCCAGAGTACCTGTGCTACTTCCGGTGAGGGACTGTATGAGGGGCTTGATTGGCTCTCTAGCAACATTGCCAACAAGGTATGCTACTTTTTTCTATATATATAATTTTACATATCCTTGACTTTCAATAAACCCTGTAAAAATGTAATGTAAGCTATTGTTATTGAATATCTAAGTAAAAATGTAATTTTACATATCCTTGTATCATTGAATCTTTATTTTAGTAGTCTCTACTTGCTGATGGTAGGCATTTCCATGATTATTTCAGGGTTAAAGCTTTTGCGAGATCTCTAGATGGAGGAACGGGGAGGGTTGCATCTCTAAAATTGTGTTTGAGTTTGGTGGTGAGTGTTAAGTCTCGGATTATTGAACTTGGTAAATGGTTTTGTTAAATGCGCATGGTGTCTTTATAAATTTGTACTCCTATGGCACTAAAAAAAGGCTTCAGCTTGCTCAAGTAAAAATCTATATATTTTTCCCCTCTTTTATTCATCTTATCATCACACTTGTTGTTAATCTGCTGCCTCTTATTAATTAGGGTGAAAGAAAATTGAAATGTGGTTCATTTTCGGTGCCTTTCTTTTTACTTGCATTTGGTTTTATATTTTTTGCAAAATTGCTATTTATCTTATAAATTAATTTTAGTCAGTTATTTGTTTCCTTTAATTTGTGGAAATAAATTAGTATTTTTTATTTTTTTTTTAAATAATCTGTTTATGAAATTTAAAATAAATATGCATTTGAGCATATTTTATATTAAATAAATAATAAATTAAATTAGAACATGATATTATACTATTAAATTTAATATTCAACTCATAAATGCTTAGAATTCCATTGAAAGCTCAATCCCTTTGTATATTGTATGGCAGTATATGTAATTTTGTTGCCTGAATTAGTAGCCCAATGGTCCACCCATTCGGATGTGCATATAGGGGTTTAAACTTAGCCAAACATGAGCGAGTTATTATCTTGTTCATGTATGGCTCGTTTGAAATTATTTGTGTTAGAATTCAGCTTGTTCAAATTTTAATGAAAAATTTGTGTTCATATTTGATTCTATTTGTTTGATTATTGCTCGCATTGTTTGTTTAAGAGTGAAATAGTTTGCAATTAACTAATTTTTTTTGTTTCATTTTAATAAGTTTGAAAATGTTGGATTTGTTTGAATTTAACTGTTTTGGCTTGAATTAGTTTGAAAATGCTTTAAAAAGTGTAAAAAAATTAAAAAATGCTTTGAAATTAAAAAAATTTTCATGCACATTTTAAATTATAAGTTTTACAAAAAATAAATCTAAAAAAATTAATGAAATTATATGTAAATTTACAATAAATAAAAAAAAAATCTGAATTAAAAAAATAAATAATGAGATTATAATTACAAATTTACAAATGTATAGTAATGTTACTAATCCTAATTCTGAAGTTATCAATTGCCACTTGAATCATGAACTCTCCTTTAGTATTTAGGCTCAAAGCTCTCTAAGCCTGCAAAATCCGAGCAAGAGAAGCATTGTGACCAAAAAATGTAAAAAACAAAAATATAACTAACAACTTACAAAAGTAATAGACAGATGGAAAAAAACATCAAAAGAAAAGAAAACAATTTACATGAGCTCAGAATTTACTTGCTACAAAATATTAAAACTGTCCTAAATTTTAAATATAAAAAAATATATTTTGAAATTAATTGAATTTTAATAATGGTTGTAATTCATCAGCGCTCAGTAATCAATATCAGCAAATCGAAAAGATCAAAGAAGTAAATAAACTTATCAAAAGCTAACCACAATTCTAGAATGAACCAACAACAAACCATCAAACCATAAAAAATAACCCAACGAAATAAAAAAAAACTAGCCAAAAAATCAGCCACCACCTAAATAGGAAAATCAGATCAAACTCCAATACCATATAACAACAAAGCTGGGTCGGCTACATGAATCCTTTTTCTCCATTGAATCCATCCTTTTTCTCCATTGTGTCCTATTTAGTGTCGTATTTTCATTTAGTTCTAATAAATTAAGATCATTTTTTTATACAATAAGCCCAAGTCTTCTAGGTCTACCTCCAATACCATAGACAAGAACAAAAAAATAAATACACAAGGAGAAACAATAACCTGCAATCCAACTTGCAGAAACAAGAGACATGGCTAGCAGAAAACTAATAATCAACTAGCAGGAACAATAACCAATAATCCAACTGGCAGAAATAAGCGAGACAGCTAGCAGAAAACTAACAACCAACACAAAGAGATCAAGTAGTAAAAATTAAAAGAAACCAGTTGGCGAGCACTCACAATACCATCCAAAATTATGAATAATGAATATTCACAATGATTGTATTAAAATACAACACTCCTCCAAGACACGTTATACCAAATCAGTAAAAACAAAATGTCAACCACAAGTTAGGAACAACAGCTGAGCTTAAAACCTTGTAGAAAGCTACCATTTGGGTGCTACAAATTTGAGCACCGGGAAAAAATGTATAGTCGGAAGGCTTTGAAATATGGGAGTAACTTTAATCTCCCAACTCTTAGGCGTTGTTTAGAGGTAAATTTAGTAAAACATTTAAATCCAGATTAGTTAAATCCTAGTAGGATTTAGTAAATCCGGGATGTAAACTATACCCCTGATTTAGGGGATGCCTTTTTTTTTAATGAAGACTTATATGGAAGATTAAGAGAATGTTTGGTCAGTTGATCATAGGTTTATCAATGGTCAGCTGTACATCTTGAACATGACTTATATAACTTTATTAGTAGGCCAACATATTGGCTCTAAATCTAGGCAGGCATTTGCTCAGATATGTGTTTAAATAAGATCTAATTTCCCTCCTCCTAATACAATTTTGTTTAATTTGAACTTGAAAAAAAGAATGTAACAAATGGTTTATAATCTCAAGTGTATGGCTTGGTCGGCATAAAAATTTCCTTCATTGTTTGAAAAATTGACAACTTTTTACTCAACCTTCATACAGTACCATAATTGCTCCTCTTACCAGCCAAAAAAAATATTTAAGTGCAGACTACATATATATTTCTACATTTGGAAGGTGGGAGTGCATAGTTGTGAACTCATTATTACATAGTCTTGTATTTGTTCACTTCACAAATAAAAAGTTAACCAAAATAAATGTAGTATAAATAGTTTTCAAGTTAATAATAAGTTCAATAAATATGAAAGTATATATTTCCGAAGAGCCAACAAACCATGGAGATGTAGAGTTCATTTCAAATATTTGATAGCGGCATACTAAATTTCTCCTCTTCTAAAAACTTTTGTTGAAAATATAATTACATAAAATAATTATCAATATCAGTAATATATAAAAAAAATAAAATCATAGAAAAAACTACATTGAAGGAAAGATTATTGATGCATGCTAGAAAATTTGTGGTGGTAGAGTAAACAAATTATCGTCTTAGCGTTGTACGAAAGTTCATCACACACACAGATGAAATAGAAAAAAACGTTGATGACTACATAAGTTTTTACATGGAAAACCTGTTAGGGAAAACCCACGGGGCCTAGCCTAGTTGCGGAAATCCACTATTGATTGATTTGTCCCATAGACGAGAAATGGTAACTATATTTTTCATATTACAATGTCGACTGCTGGCGTCTAGTTGGTGGTGATTGATGACAGTAGGCGGTGGTCATCGAAGGTTGGCGGTGGTCGACACGCGGTGGTTGTCTGAGGTCGGCGGTGGTCGTCAGCGATCGACGGTGGTCGATGGCTGCTGGCAGTGGTCGACGTCGGCCGACGGTGGTCGACGACGGAGGTCGGCGGTGGTCGACGACAATTGGTGGGGACGCTGAGCTGCAGCTTCTCCTCAAGACTTCAGGCTCTCTGTAGACTTCCTCCCCCCTCATGAGAGGGATGAGGCTCTATTTATAGTGTTATGAGTGCAAAATGCAGGAATATGAACTGGCGGTGGTTGACGTCGGCCGACGGTGGTCGACGACGGAGGTCGGCGGTGGTCGACGACAATTGGTGGTGACGCTGAGCTGCAGCTTCTCCTCAAGACTTCAGGCTCTCTGTAGACTTCCTCCCCCCTCATGAGAGGGATGAGGCTCTATTTATAGTGTTATGAGTGCAAAATGCAGGAATATGAACCATTTTGATCAGAAGGTCCAAAGAGCTTCCCTCGATCATACGACATTTAATGGACATTTGAGTGTCTCAATGATGCCAGAATTGAGTGAACTTGGGCTTGTTGGATTCGTCTTGTCGAGTCGCTCGATTTGAGTATAAACTTGACATATTTGACAGTCGTTTGACTTTCCAAATATATTCATAAATCTTATAACTGTGGTTTAATGACTTGATCTGTGCTTGATTTGACTTGGATTGGGCTAGCTTTCATATCATTAAGTCTGTCTCATCAAGCCGTCAATTTGACTATAAGTTTGGTGAAATCAAAGCTCTGAATGACTTTTTATAAAGATTTGAATGTTTCCTGCTTAAAATATAGTCTCGAGATTCGTGTCGGATGATGAAAATTTGTTGGTGACATATCAATTATCAAATATGTTTTCTCATTCTTTTGAGAATATCTAATCTAACTTGATGCATAAACTAATGCATTAATAGTTTTAGTAGAAAAATTGCTTTTATAATTATCCAACACTCTACCACCGTCAGTAAAAGAAAATTCTTAGGCAATTGTAGTTATAGGTATTGATAAAATATCTCAACTCATAGTAGAAAGGTAAAGATATTTAAATGTATTAATCTTCAACCAATCAAGCACATCAAATATGTCAACATACACACAACTAGTCCCTCTTTAAAATATACTTGTAAATTGGGCTTTGATGGTTCCACGTAACCTGAAACCATAACAAAATCTTAAATCGAAGCATGTAGTCAAATTGAGATGAACGAAACATGAATCAACTGTAGAAGATGATCCATCTCGTGAAATATTAGTTGTTGAATTAAGAAGAATAGAGTCAACAAGAAGATTTGCACAAATTTTCCACAACATATCTTGAACTAATTTAAAGTTATGATCAATCACATTAGACGAAAATATCTTTGAAAAATGTGAAATTAATAAACTTGAATTTCAATATGTGGCCTAAAATTGCTACAATACACATTAGAATATTGCATTCTCCCAAACAATTTTTAAATTTCACTTGCATATTCAGAGGCAAGTTCTCATAAGAACATCGTTTGAAATTTGCTCCTCATTGAGAATTATCTTCATATTCATAAGAGCGGGCAAAAATAGATTCGTTGTTGGATAAAGTGTGTCCGAAAAAATCTTAATGATATTGCTGAAATGGAAGGAAATGTACTTTTTTTTTCATATCTCAGCCAATCTAAATCGACAGACAATTATTCGTAATGATTATCTCTTACTGCATAGTACTGAAAAATATTATGATAAATAAATGTAGACTTTAGCATATTAAGAGTAGAGTTCCTACTAATTGAAACATCAATTGATAATAACCTTGTTATTGGAACTCTCAATTGTTTAGCCACTTCCACAAACTTATGCACTCTTACTAGTGATTTTATTTAATACTTTACTGACTCTAATATTGTGAATATATCATGAACTTATTTTAGCCCTTTTTGGATCATTAAGAATATATGCTCAACATCTCACATGAAAAAAAAAATTCCATGAAAATGTAATTTTTAATTGGAAATTGGCTTTCAATGAACTAGCAACAACTTCGTTGTTGGTTGTGTTATCTAATGTAATTATTGAAACTTTATCATAAGCTTTCACTCCATTAGGTAATCACAAAAAGTATCACATATTTAAGTGTCGGTATGCAGAAGCTCTAACTCAATAAAGTTAATAATTATTTCTTTCAAGTCATATGATAATTTAATGTAATGGGTATTGAGACACATATATCATATAGTTTGATTTGAGGTCTAATAATCTGCACTTAAAGACACCTTGCAAAAATCTTCAAGACAAGTTTTGAGCTTCTCTTTCTCACCCTCATATACTTTCATGAATCTTTTTTTATAGCGTTTCTTGAAAAAGTCTCATAATCATGATTCAATATTTTCAATAATATGTCAAAGCAAATATTTTCAACCATCATAAAAGAATATTCATGCATTATTATCTTTTTTGCAATAACCTCTCTAATCAACTGTTAATCATAATTTCGGGATTATAAAATATAGGAATTTTTGGTTTACATCAACATCATATGACAAAAGGTTCAACCACTTTTGTCTTTTATATGATATATCAACAAGTGATTGACTCTTAGAATTCATCTTATTATATTTCTTAATATGTCAAAGAAGTTAAGTTGTTCTAAATTTTTACTTGTTAAATTTGAACCCACAATAAATGCATCTATTGGAATTAAATTTAAAATCTATGAAATACTCCCAAGCAGTTAACTTTTTTTTATACCATTCTTCGTTTGAATGTCATTACTAGTACTTCCAACAACAAACTCAATAGAGTGGAAAATATTACGAGGAGTCTCATTCGTATTTTGCAATGTAAGTGGCAACGTTGCACAACTTGATGTAGATTGAGATTTGTTCGCATGTTGACACTGCAAACCACTAAAAATAATATATTTATATATATATATATATATATCATAAAAATTTCATTTTTCAGGCACTAAGGAAATTAACTAACCTCTACAGACCACATTTTTCAAATCAAACCACTTGCTCAACACTTATCTTGCAGCCAACCACTGCTCACAAAAAATAAACAAAATAGATCCTTGAAGAGTAGAAACATGCCCATTCAAGAGCAAATAAAAGACCAACAAAAGAGATAAATCCCTTCAAAATAATTAGAAAATTCATCTATTGTGAACAGGTAACATGCCAAGCTAGTGAAACCAAAAACCTTTACAAAAATAAGGTGAGTCACGTCAACTACTTAAACCAAAACATGTAAGAACATACATATTTAGATATTTCCTTCTCTAGAAATCATAATCTTCATAAAAGTAAATGGATATACTTTTCTCTCTGCGAAACCCTAAATACAAAACCACTATAAGGAGTCTCGCTTCTCTGCATTCATCAGAAAAATATGTAATATACAAAGATTTTAAGGGACAAAATATCAAAAGCCTTGAAATCACTTTGCAAAATTTTCCTATCACAATTTTTTTCTTCACATCCAAAAATCTCATATCAAAGAAGGGAGGAAGTATGAAAACCCTACTTCTAAAAAACATGAAAAACTTAATCTAACTTCATAATGAAAAAGTATGAAACCCCCAATCCACTAAATGTATGAAAAGTCTAATCCAAGTCCACCGTCCAAATTCTAAACAATAAAAGTTTTTCATAGAAAATATTTGTAACTCTATAGAAATAAATTAAAATAGGGAGGACACGACAACACCCAAATGCCTCTTTCCTTAAAAGAAGAAAGATATTAAGAAGCAAGACAACAAACCCTAGCAAGCCTCCAACTCCAAGAACTATCCATAAGGCTGACGTCGAAGATAAGTGAGTAGCCCGAAGGCCTTTCACTTGCTTCTGGGACGTGAGGAGAAGAGAAGCTTGATGAGAACAACAAGTACAAATAAGAGAAGGTGAAGGGAAACAGAGAAGGAGAGATGTGGTCCGAGTGCGGAAAAAATATATTACATTCGGAGTCCGGACATAAACTACCCGGACAACGAATATGATACACAAGAGGTGATTTCTTTCTTCCCTCTACCTCCATCTGGTGTATCGCATCTGTTGTCTGAACATTGCTTTGCATCCAAACTCAGGAAAATATTATTTTCCATGTGCGAGACTATGAGAGTTTGAGAAGCTTTATAAGAAAATAGCGAGTACTTGGTAATAGTCGGCTAGCGTTATAACTTATTAGGTTTATATTATTTTTAATTTAGGGTTAGGGTCAGAACTTATTTTTTTCAAATTAAATCATTTATATTTGTTAAATTTAATAAAAATTTCAATTTATATATTTTTTTAATTTATAAAATATTAAATAATTTTAAATTTATGCTGGTATAATTTATTTAAAACAGCACTCAATAATTATATACATAATTAAAGCAATCTAAATAGAGCCGAACACATGCTATTTGCCAAGTTCGAACATGGAAGGGTTAAAGCTAAATAGATATGAAAGACTCGGCGTTCCTTAAATAGTGCTTCCCGTATTACGGTATTCCAGGTATCGGGGCATATGTACAAAAGAGTTGAGTAAAATGCAAAAAAAAAAAAAAAAAAAATTACATACATACCACACAATTCTAATGGACTTATATATCTAATGCCTAATGTTTGATATTTTTATTTACGACATTTTGGTGCACAAATCTATGCAAAAATAATAATAATAATAATTATATTTGACTATTAAGAGGTTAATTACGAGTCAATTGCTCATTACATGGCATTTGAAATGTTGCTATTTATAAAATTGTTACCCTTCTTTATCCTATTCTTAAATTCTCACTCAGGGATCAAAATTGATAGTAAAATATCCGAACCTATGCTTTTTATTTTTATCAAATTCTCAACGGTTTGATAATTTTTTTTTTTTTTGAAAATATGCACTCTGTAGTAGGGGTGTAAACGACCGAACACGAACGAACCTAGCCTCAACTTGTGTTCGGCTTGTTTATATTTCAAGCTCAAAAAATGTGTTTGTGTTCAACTCGTTTGCTTAGTGAATCAAACACGAGCCGTTCATGAACAAAAAGTCGTTTTGA